TAAAAAAAGAATTAAGCCTTTATTTTCTAACCGATTTTAATAAAATTATTTCATTCTAGACCCTTCATCTTCAAAAAAGTGTATTGATGTTCATGTTATTGAAAAAAATGAACAATCTATCGACTAAATTGTGTTTAACGCACAGTATACTTTTTTTAAAAACAATTATATTAGACTTTTCCGTACGAATTTAATTAATTACATTAAGATAAATCAAGAAGTCTTGAGTGTAAATTTTTTTTAAATCTGAAATATGCTAAGATTGAGCGTCCCTACTATAACTTACGAGTAAACCTACGGAACTCGCACTCACCCATTTCGATAAACAATGGTTCATTTGATTTTAATTATTTAATTTAACTTTTTAATCAAATAAATTTGTTAAATAAAAATAAATTAATTAAAATTTAATTAAATATTAAGTGGTTTTTCTTTTAGAATATAGAAAAGTATTAGTCTCGTATTTTATGAGCCAAGGTTCAATTTTAAGGGTTGAAATCACCTCTAGAAAAGTGAATCGCTTAACGTGCGAGGGCATTCAACTATTCATACACTCTGATTATAGTGGATGGCGAAAGAATAATTACTAGAAATGAGGAAAAATTGTTATGAAAAATGTAGGGTTTTCAAAAAGTCGGAAATCCAAGATTCAAATATCCACCCTTTATTTTTAAAAAATTTCTTTCTTTTATTTCAAGTAGATTTTTTAACAATTGATTATAAAATTTATGTATAATTCAAAATATCTTAAATTTGCAAAAAAATAATTTTTCAAAGAATATCGCTTAATTTTAAAACTAATCAAAAGGATTTGAAATGTTTTTTAATTAATTTTTTAAATACTAGCCTCCAACGTAAAGATCAACCCCTAGAGGTTAGAGTTTAAAATCTTAAAAATTTTCACCTTAACGAAGAAATAAATTGCTTCCCTTACATTTTTGTAACTGATACAAAAAAAATTAATTGTTCACAAGTAATTTGAGCATAAATGGATAAATTAACAGTAGGTAAAAAAATAATTTTTTAAAGAACTATCCTTATCTGTAAAATCTCTTCTTGACTATTTTTCAAAAATTTTCAATAGAATTATGTCATATTAATTAAAAGTTTGAAATTAATCCTACATTGCTATGGAAAAAATTGTTGTTTACTTTCAAATGTTTAATAATTATTATTAATTTTTGATAGTAACAACTTTACATCAATATTTAAAAAACACACCTTTAAAGTATGAGAGTTAAAAAATGTTATCACTGATTTAGTGTTTCTAAATGTTTTCAAAAAATTTTTTTTCCACGCTTTCGATTATTTTTATATAATTATGCAGAAATTTAATTACTGTAAAGAAAATTTTCATAAACTTTGGGGTTATCCATAAAGCATATGATACTTAATTTGGGTAATTTTTAACCCCCCCCCCCATCATGATGCTTTTTTCATTTATGATTAACATGAAGCATGATGAAAGCTGTAGGTTGCGAGTTTGAATCCTATCAGGTGTACAATAAAATATAAAATAATGTAAAATACACGAAACTAAATAATTTTAAGAAAACTAAACAGTACATTAACTTTAAATTAACCACAAAACATTCGTTTTCTTTTGTTTTTGAAGGTTAATTTTTTAAAAAGTGTAAAAGTCGAATAAAACTCTGTGCAACGACTGACATATTTTTAAATATAATTTGAACCCTAAAGAACACCACTTTGGCATAAGTGGGAAAAATTTCTTTATTTGTCAGTGGTTGTAATGAAAGAAAAAAATCGAAAATCAATTACTTAGCTTTTGAGAAAAGTCACATTTTAGACGATATTTCAATTTATTTAATGTTTTCGCTTTATTAATGTTATTTTTTATTACATATTTGAAATATTTATGGAAAAATAAATAATTTCCATATATTATATAATTTTTTATCTTTTGGTATAACAGAGAAAAAAGTGTTTCAAAAGTCCTCTGCATCTGAAAACGTTAAATCTAAAAAAACCATAACTTTCATAATTTTTATCAAATAAAAAAATAAAAAAACACGTATTTACTTATTTTTCATATAGAATTCGAAAAAAATTGTTTCAATCAAAAAAAAATTTTAAGTGAAAATTACACTGAGAATGCCCCATATGCAAAATGACTAAATAAACAATTTTTGTAAGTTTCAAATTTTTTTCTTGAAAATTGATATTTGTTCTTCCAGAAGATACGAATAACAATAATATTAAAAAATTCTTTAATGTCAATTCAATATTTTTTCTGAAGGTCTGCATACCTGTAAACCACCTCCTTAAAGCGCACATTTCCTAAACCATCCTTAAACCTTGCACATGAATGTTTGACACTCACGGATTTTAATGTATGTTCTGTAAGCTGGAATTGGATATTGTCTTTCAGCAAAATTATCTTAGGTAGCTCATTATATCTATTTTGAAGGAAAATAAGTTTCATGATCATTTATTTAATCTTAATAATTAAGACTCCGGATCTTAAAAGGGCACTTTTCGCATTGATTTTGAATGGCAAAAGTGCCCTTTTAAGATCCAGAGCCTCAATTAGAAAAATTTGAATTAAAATAAAAAATTTAACTGTATACTCTTGAAATATGGGCAAATCCACAGAATTTCATTTTTTAAATTAATTATTTTTTTTTAAATTTTTTAATTGAATCTGTGAATCATGAAATCGACTGGTTCTGTGGATTTACAAATTCGTTATGATATAAATTTAAATTAATTATATAAAAATTAATAAATTACCTCTGTTTTATTATTTATATAAGGCAGTTGGTTAAAATTCATTTAACTTTCTTACACGGAGAAAAAAGAAAATGAATAATAAAATTTACTATGAGGAGTGTCAAACTAGAAAAAGTTGACACTCTTCTGTTTAGAACTTAATCTGAGGAGTGTTAAATTTACATTCCTCATAATAAGTTTAATTATCCTTAATTTTCCTTTTTTCTCCGTGTAGTTCAATAGCTTCTTAGAGATTTTCTCAAGTAGTAAAAATATGTAAATAATTAATACAATACTTTAAAAATAGAAAGATTTGACAGTAACATGAAATCGACCGGTTCTGTGGATTTACCTATATAACACTTTTAGGAAAAGATAGTATATGAAAATAATAAAATGCGGTCAAAAAATGTCATGTTTTTTCTATTCACTTGTTTCATCTAATTGAATACTTTGGTAGTTTTATTTCAAAATCTGACGATTAGTTATCATATAAATAATTATTAAACAAAATTAATACATGCATTGGGTGCTTCCTCCATGCAAAATGTATGAACTTTGCATTCATTTTTTGAAGCTTTGAAACGGTCAAAATTAATGAAATTGGTCTCATTCTGTAGATAAATACTTCAGGAATAAGTATGCAAAATTTGAAAAAAATCTGACGAGAACCATTTTACGCGACTAATACCTTAAAGGTTGAGTATGTGTGTCGAACACTTAGGGTGCGCTTCAAAGCGCACCCTGGTTAAACGTCATATATGAAAGTCCCAAGAAAATTTCGAAACGTTTTTGAAACATTTTTAGAGCGTTTTAATAGTAAACATGGCATGTTATTTGAACGTCTTAAAAAATGTTTATTAACGTCATAAGAAATAAGTACATGTGTTTCAGAATATTTGAAACATGAAGAATCATTCAAAGAACGTTTTAGAATGTTCGATTGCCCACTGTGAGGAATTCATTAATTTGTAATAGTTAATCAACATAAGAAGTAACAATTATTACTGAGAATTCATGTTTCATTTTTAGTGTAAATTCCTTGAATAATATTTAATAATATATTTCTCTTTTTTGATTTTATCAAAATAATTTAATTGAAATTCAAAGTATTAATTTTCTGACCTAACTCAGAATGGGAATGAGACACATAATTTCGAATTAGGTATTTGATAATAAGATTGTTCTAAAAGAATCAAAAGCTACCGTCGATTGATGAATGTGTTTATTCCCAATCCCTAAAATCCACATATGTTCGCTTCATAAGAGAAATTACAATGAAATATTATGTATGATTCCAGGTTGATTTAAGAATTATTCAGAATGAACTACTTCAAATTGAGTTTTAAAATTTTTTATTATAATCTAAAATCATGAATTACTGTTCCGAATATTTTAATTTAAATTAAAAGAAGTAAATTAAATTCTACCAAAAGCCATATAAATAAAGTTGTCTTTAATCTAACCATGTATGGTGTGACAAAAGCTCTGTAAAAGTAAATCTGCAAAGGTAAATCAAACAGAATGTTTGTTAATTTATTACAAATTACGTCGCGAAGAATTGAAATAAAATTCGAGGAGCAAAATACAAATAAAATTCTTACTAACCTATGTAATGATATATAAAAAAATACTTACAACGTGCAGCTACGGCGATGGAATCCGAATGTTTAGAGCCTTTGAATTTAGTAATAAAGAAGGAAGGAAAAAATGTTGAAACACTTTTACTAGAAGAGAATGTAGAAGGCACAATTAAAGATGTTGAAGATTCAAAAATAAAAAGTATTGAAGGAACTGGTGATTTATCATTATTACAGGAAGCAATTAAATCAGATGACTCAAATTCAAATAGCATGGAGCAAAAAGTTCTTACAGCGTTTTACATGAGTAGCTTAATGCAAGCATGCAATATGGCTACACCAAGAACTTTAAATACGCAAAATAATTTTATGCAATTATTGGCTATGGTAGAAGCGAGACATCAGCTTTTGCAACAAATGAATTGGAGTGCGCCATCAAATTTTTTAAGAAATCCTCTAAATATTCCACGTCCTTATTTTGATGTGCCGATGTTAAATTTAAATGACCAAATATGCTATGTACAAAATTCTGGAACAGCAAGTAATTTATCCTCCAATAAAAACGATTCTGTAAATCAGGATCGAGAAGTCGAAAAAACTTACACTAAACGGTACTGTGCTATAGAATGATTTATATTGATCTGTATGATACAAGTTTTAATAACACCATTACTATCTTTCATGTTGCAGGTCCACAAATGAACAAAAAAACTCCTCCTCGTTATTAACGGATAATTCGAAAACACAGGATTCAGGACAACAAAATAGTCAAGGTTAGTAATTTTATTTTCAACACTTATCATATCTATGAGTGTTTTTGACACTCGCCCCTAATTAACTCCTGGTTAATGATGATTGGACAATCGTTAATTCGAAGTTAACTCAGGGCGAGTGCCGAAAACAGCCTTATTTATACCTCCAACGAATAAAAGCTATTATAAATATATTTCATGACTTCATCATAATAATGATCAAGAATATAATCGAGAAATAATACTCATTAACAATATAATTCAGAAACGCGAGTAACATTAACATTTGCAAAAATAATTAACTAATAACAAATAAAATAATCATGACGCAAGTAATTAACATTTAACAATCCGTTAACAATTTTAGCTACCGATTTATTACGATTCTATGCAATTTACATACGTTTTCTTTTTCACCTGAATCTATCGCATTCTGTAGAGTTTATAATTAACGAAACTAGTTTGGAATTCGTTTCATAGTCTATCGTGACTGACGCGACCGAGACGTGCACTCTGAGAAGTTGAAGCTGCTCTTCGTTAAGGCAGAATCAAAATTTATTTATGAACGGGAAAGTCGACGGCGATTTCTTATCCAGGTAGCATCCTCAGATAGGAATTCATCTTCGTTTCTTAGCCTCAGGTGTAAAAGTAGCACTTTTATACACCTGGGGTGCAGAGCTAGGATGCGGGATAACCTGTCTTCATGACCACTCATAGTAGCACCTAAACAGCGGTCTCAGAGACAGGAAGATTACATTAGATCTTCACATAGTAGCACCTACATATTTTTTTTAATAATACAATATATATATTTGTAATTACATTATACTGAGTACATCCGAGATACTCAGTAGCAAATCATACTCCGCAAACAGCCTGGACGTTGAACTCTTCTTCTGCGCCTCCCTCGATGTTGGACAGATGTTAAACTGTTGAAGACACTCCAAATCATGTGACTTCCCAAAAGAACCCTACTTGAAATAGTTTTCAAATCTCCTTTAGAAATCAAATCTCCCCACCTTTTAAGACTAGCAGCAGACGAAACGCTCCGAATCCCTCTCCAATTCAGAGTAACTGACAAAACAACCACTCTCAAACCTGGAATCTCTGACGAACCCTTGATGACATCGACCAGATCGCAATCGCTCTTATACTTCCGAACTTTCAGTGCATCTGCACGAACAAGGTCTGTTTGTACGGAGACCACTTGTGCATCTATCACCAAACATTTGCTACCTAAAGTAGCCACAATATCCGGCTTCCTTAAACCTGAGGATGTTAGATATTCGGATTCTACAGCAACCGAAAACTCAGAGTTTCGTAGTTTTTTCGCTACGTATGCAACAAGAGCATCATGTTGTTTAATGCGAGGATCATGTGTTCTGTGACAAAGCTGAAGAACATGGTTGGATGTTTCAGGTACATTACAACCAGCACGACAGATACGGTCCTTTCGTTGACCACAAGCAGTCCTTAATCTAGTAGGGATAGCACCAATTCTCAATCTGATTAGGTTAATAAAATCCTTACCACCAAGAAAACGAGTGCCATCAGCAACCCAATTGTGTTGCCCTAGGACTCTTTTTGAATCTTTTAATGCTCCACCATCAACCGTTTTATAAAGCCTAGAAGCCCACCATGCCTCCATAGCCTGCTTAGATGATAGGATGTTATTTTCGCAGGTCTTTAATCTAATTTCTGATTTGTCAATCTGATCTCTTAGACAGTTATCAGATAATCTGCCACTACCTTCAAAAAACTCCATTAGCATCTTCAATCTAATGACCCTTTCCAATGGTGCTGCCCATCTACACGAGCGAACACCTAAACCACCATCCTTAACACTTGCGTGAAAGAAAGCATTGGGACAATCGTTGGGAAGATGTAACCACAACCTGACAAAACGCCGGACCATTTTATCAATTTTCCTGAGGTATCCAAGAATGGTTTCCCCCATGGACAACTGATACTGACAGGACGGCAAGACATTAGTTCTTAAAGCCCAAAGCCTCTGTTGTGGCTTTAAAGGTGCCTTAGTAAGTTTATCTAAGGACGTTTGCAATAAACCCTTTACGTTCGAAAGGACTTTACCTTCAGGAGTGAAAGGAATACCAAGGTATTTCCAATCATTAGATCTTTTAAGAGGTGGGATACTAGCACCTCTAACTTTAAAGAAAGATTTAGCATCAACTACAACTTTCTTTTCACCTGGGATATTCTGAATCACGAGAATTACCTCGAAACATGTCAGAACACGAATTAAGGAGTTAGAATCTTGCAGCAAGGTATAAAAGGTTTGTCTGACAGCATCAGACTAGCGAACTGAAGCACATTTTGGTTCGCTAGTCTGGCGCTCCAGTGTATATCAAAGCAGGAGGTTTGACGTCGAGGTATAATAATGTACACTGTTGATGATTGTCCAGTAAGTACTATTAGAACTCGGTTGTCGATAAACCGGTTGTGCTCAGGAGAGGTTTTCTTCAGTTTCCTTCTCCTCTGGTGAGATAACACATTAGAGGGTACTTCATGCAAATGCGATTACTCCTAATTTAAAATCGTTCTGTAGAGGTAAAAATTTAGTATAAGGTTTTTACACTTGTTTAGCTAGTATCAGCTTAAAACGGGTGTATAAGCCAATAAATAAAATATGGGCTAGAGTCTCATCATCCAACTCAGCGAAAGTACTATCATACATCTTCATGTTTCCAAAAATTGCATCTGGGTTTGTAGCAAGCAGATCGTCCAGAGTTGCAGTAAAGACCTTTGTATCGGTTTAAGAGCAGATGGCAGTTCACCTATTCTATTTTTTCCTCAGTTCGTTTCTATAGTTGTCCATCATTTCTATAATAAAAGTACCACTATTAATCGGTTGCATATGCTTTGCACGCTTAAATAACTGTCTGATGTCATTCCTAAGATAATTAAATATCTTATTCTACCAGTATGTTTCCATTCTTGAACATACCTTTGCCTAACAGTCTCATAGACTGTTCAGCTTGTGGCAACCGTGTTGAGATTTAATTAAAAATGTTAAGATTAAAAAAAGGGGGTTGGACTTAACCGATAGCGCACGTAATGTGTTACGATGAGACGTCAGTCTCTCTCTGACGCTAATTTCGCCAGTGAGGAACATATGCTTTTGTCGTCTGTTAGGCGCGAATTATGCGCCATCTACAACTTTTTATTTGAAAAGTAGCGTGAATAATGTTTATAATACGTAGTAAAATATTATTAATTAGAAAGGACCACTGGGAACAACATTTAATAAGATTGTTGAGAACAATCGTTACAAGCTTTTGTAAAATTAGTAGCCATTTCATTTTGACGTCGCTGATTACGAATCTGACATCAGTTTTTCGAAATTCAAAATGGCGGAAGTTTTTTTTTCAAAATTCGTCGAATTTTCTTGAAACTTGTTACTCGGGGGTTTTAAGGGTCGTTGATTACGAATCTGACATCAGTTTTTCGAAATTCAAAATGGCGAATCCAAAATGGCAGAAGTTTTTTTTTCAAAATTCGTCGAATTTTCTTGAAACTTGTTACTCGGGGGTTTTAAGGGTCGTTGATTACGAATCTAACATTAGTTTTCCAAAATTCAAAATGGCGGATCCAATATGGCAGACAACGAAATAAAAAATTGATCAGATTGTCTTGAAACTGAATACTCGGGGGTTTTTAGGGTCGGTGATTACGAATCTGTCATTATTTTTTCAGGGTACTTATCGAAATTTGATTTCACCAAAAATTATCATACTGATGTCAGATTAACCAGTTTCAAACAAATTCAATAAATTTAAAAAAATTTTCCGCCATATTGGTCCATTTCGTGAGAATCACCCTTAAATAAACCTTTTAATTATTAAACCTTTAAATTATTATTTACAATTAACTGAATACATTATTAATTGTTTAATAATTTTTGTTACAGATAAAAAGAAACCACACATAAAGAAGCCTTTAAATGCATTTATGTTATATATGAAAGAGATGAGGGCAAAAGTAGTGGCCGAATGTACCTTAAAAGAAAGTGCTGCAATAAACCAAATATTAGGAAGGAGGGTAAGTAATAAATGGGATTTTACAAACATAATTGCACCGCCGTTTTAGTAATAAAAATTCTTTAACATGAAGATTGAATTTTCCTAAAAAGATTATTTCAAACAGGTATAGCATTAAATAATGATAGTAAAATGAAGTAATATGATTTTTGCAAAATTTCAATTTTTCAAAAGACTGTACATTCATTCTTCGTGTTAAAATTCCCATATTTCACCAAAGTCAAGGTTTTATTTTTTTTAATATTAAATTAATTGAACAACGATTATAAGGTATCTTAGTTATTTTGGTTTTTTAATTTATTGATAAATTGATAGTTTCATTTTTACGAAAATTAAAACTGTTTTCTGATGAGTTGACTAAGGTTCATGTTAATCACTGTTTTACGCACATATCTTTATATGTCTCTGGGAACATTAACATTTCTTTCAAAATTCAATATTACAATTCAAATTGCTCATAATTACACTATATTTTTTGTCGCAAAATTTTAATCAGCAAACGTAAAAGACAAGCACAAATAAATGCAAAAAAGCAAAAAATGCTTAATTTTGCTTGTAGAAGAAATGTTACTTGGAATTTTTAGCATTTTATAGTAGAAAAAATGTTAAAATTTTCTAAATATATAAAGAAATACAAACTAGCCTTCGAAAATACTTATTAATTTTAGGATTGTAAAACATTTTTAATTAAATATGCCAAAACTTGCGTTTTTTAATATATTTAGGTCATCATTATTATAGGTGTCAACATTATTTATTTTAGGAAAACAAATTCTTAAAAAGTGGACAATTTCTTTTAAAATGTTGCATTCAAGTTTGCAATTTCCACGCTCTCCAGTTTTCTAATTTATATCTAAAAAGTAATATTTTGTTAAATTTTAATAGAGAAATAAGATGTTGATTTTATTTAATATATAAATTATTTTTTGTTACTTTTTCACTCATTGTTGTTTAACTTAAACATTTTTGCTTTTTTAAAATCCTTATTGCATCTTATCTTCAATTTAAAAAAAAAGTTGGAATCCATTTATTAATTTTTTTATACCACCTTATTTAACCCCGTCCTGGGGTTGCTTGGCGCATGAGTGATATTAATTAAATTATACGATTTAAAGTTTAAACAATACACGACATAGTAAAAATAAGTTTTCTACTGTCATTTTACAATAAAAATATTTAAAAAAGGATCATATTTAACCCCTTCCGTGTGTAGCTGAAATATTATAAACGTATTTTGATTCGCTGATTACTAAAATGATATTGAAATTAGGTGCAAATTAGATTATGATGTTGAAAACCATAAAAAACGATCATAATTTACGGTTTTTTGCTATTATCTTATAAAATATTAAAAATTTTTTAAAATTTTTCAAATAAAAGTTGTTTATCTTAGAAAACTACACATTTTAAATATATTTTTTTATCAAAAGAAAATTTTTTTTGAGGTAGAGAAAAAACGTGGTTCTTTTCGAAGATCAAGCCAATAATTTAGTACTCCGTCAAGATCATCTAAATTAAACTTTTTTTGCCTTCTTGAGTTCATTATAATCCTTCTAACAGTCAGTATGTGATGAAGTTTTAATTTCGTCCCTTTTTGCATTTTCTCAGAAACTATATAAGGACAATCCTTCAAAACTCGGTGTACTATACTTTTAGAGACGTGGGGCATAATTTAATTTCTAATTCTTCTACAGCCCTTGGTTGTTTGTGAGTCGGTAGCCACTATTCTTCATTTATCACGATCTGACAGCTTTGGTTGTTGTCCACATATCTTTTTAGATGTTTCGTGGTCTCTGTTGTTATGTATTGGTTAATAGCATTGCTGGAACGACTGGTGAGCTTTGCCCCTGTTTCGCTGTTAACGAATTCAATCGAGTGATTTACTTACAGTATCGATATCATAACTGTGATTCTTGAGTTCATTATAATCCTTCCAACAGGTCAGTATGGATAGTTGTCCCAATAGCAACATGCTTTTTTATTAAGTGAAATAATGTTTCACTGTCGCGCTTCTTATCGGGACAAATTTCCAATCTGTACTTTGAAGGATTATCACGTTGAATGAATACAAGATCCTTCAACAATTCGACCACGTTGAAACTTACGCCGACCAATTTTGCATTCGTCGATTTCGACGACTGTTTCCACTCTACCAATTTTTCCTTCCGTCTCAAAATCGACGCCCAGTGCTATGAAGCGCACTTCGCGGCAAAATGAAAATTTGTCAGCAATGGTTTCTGATGAAACAGTTTGATTATCAATAATACTGCTTTCCTGTATGGTTCGTTCAAATGACATGTTTATGGCAAAGCAGTATGTTATAAAAATACATGTTGCCGGAGAAACGTGGCAGCTTTCAAACTATGTATTTTGTGACAACCCGGTGGCGGCTAATCCTAGACAACGTCGATTAGTAATCCAAAAAATGAACAGTTCACTAAAGAATTATTTAACAAAACGTTTATTAATTATTAGTTACTAAAAAGGCGCGAATACAATATCGTAGTGGCGATAACTACAACGCGGTAACCTTATAATGTAATCTCGCAAAAGGCTCGCATCTATCTGGCGAGAGCAACAAGTCTCGCCGGCGTCGTGCGAGTCGTCTGCTAAGTGCAGTCATGCGCGCTACTTTGCGTTTAGGGAATGAACTCAGGTAAAAGAACAACTTATTCATTCAAAAAAAGATAAGACTATCTGGGTCGTCACAATTTTTAGCGACACTCTCATTATGTTTATATTGATCTTTTTTTTGACAAACAAATTTTCCACAACACAATCAAGATTCGTAAAGGGTCATCTCTTTTTTATATTTAGAACAAAACTTTGTTGCAGGAATGAGCTCAATATCACGCAACCATTAAAAACCTTTTCTCGAGTTAAGAGTAATAAGCTTAGACAAAACAAATTATAAGTACCATCCATACTGTACTGTAGATAAAATATAAATGAAAAGCGTGCTCAAGCCAATGTGGTTTTTATTAACTATCTCAGTCGGTAGTAGCCAACATTAAACAACCTTCGAAGATTTTGTCATAAAAATTAGTTAGATAACGATCATTGGATCTTAACAATACATCAGTTAATAAAATACTTTCGAAAAACGGCTAGGTGTCACCGATATTATAAGGTAATGTTTGCTCCATTATTTCCTCACACGCAGAAATTTTCCTAAATACAGCAACATTTAAAGAATTTTACACTGAAATATTTTAGTCTCTTATTGAAATATTCAATAAATATTATGTGTTGTGTGTGTAGCCAAATTTTCAATGTTTGAAAATATTTGTAACGACTATATTACATAAATTTTCATCAACTAAATGTATTTTTCTCTTCCATTATATCTCTATAACTTTGCAACAAATTTGTAGTGCAAGCTTGCTGCAAATAGCAAAATATCCTCATGATCTTAAGCACTTAATAAGCTTGCTGCAATCTTACTGATTATCAAAAATATACTATAACAAATAATGTAAGATCTTCCAAAGTAATTTAGTATTCTATCTTGGTTTTAAGAGCACATCCCGAATCGAAAATTAAGCCATATATACGACTGCTGATGTTTTTAAATAAATCCTCCATTCTCATGTCACAACTTTAAGTATTTCATGAGAAGAAGAGAAGACCATTCGAGAAGAATGGTCTGGAAAATCTTTCGTTGGCTTTAAAACAATTCCATTTCAAGAATCTTCATTTTTCTTCACCCGCATGTTCATTTTCTCGTATTTCAGCCTAAAGGGGCGGTAGCCCCTTTAAATAAGAAGAATTAGTAAAAATATGCAAAACTTTGGAGGTCCTAAACAAATGCAAAAACTAATTTACATGCGTTAAGTAAAAAATTTTTGATTCGGGGTGTGTCATTCCATCATAGGGAGCCACCATTTTAGTTCTCCAACATAGAATAGAATACTTGCAAGGAATCGAGTGGCTGCGATTTTAAATTGAAGGTTTATGTAAAAATCGTAATGATAGTGCTGTGTGGGTTTTTGGGAATACAATGCCTTATTTTAAAATGCGATAATATTACAACTATTTACAACTTTCAATTCAACTCATTTTTTTGATTTATATAAAGTGAAGAAATTCAGTTACCTCATTAAAGTGTGTAACTCGATATTTATTAATTTAATAATTTGCATCTATCGGTTCAAATAATCTTCTTAAACTAAATTCACCAAATCTCATCGGGAGGAATTGTCGAGACTACGACGGACGCAATGACGTTGAGACAAAAACGTCCGGAACAAATAAAAAGGATGAAACTTACCACACTGGATATCTCCTGTAAAATCCAAGGAATTTCGATAATAATTTATTACCACTTAACTTTCTCAAATTTATTTAATAAATAATATTCAAAATTAATAAAGTTCTTTCATAAACGTAATTATAATTCACTGACACTCAATTCTAATTCGCTCATACACAACTATACTTCAACTCAAATTCATGATTCGCTATGCGGGACTGCTCTCGCAAATTTTGAAAAAGACGCCGGCCGGCTTCGTTGCAGCTTCGTCTCTCTCCAATCCAAAGAAAATTGTCCATCGTCGTTCTCTCTCGCTCTTTTGGGCCGGAACCACCAGATGAAAATTCGGACACTCTCGCTGATATTCGACACCATTCGTAACTAATCATGCGCTCTTCATAATTTTTTTTAAGGTAACGAACTCATCGTTATAAGTGGCGACTTAAAATTATGATTGCATCTTTTTAAGCACATCGAAAGTAGTCAAATGCAATTTTACAGAAAATCTCAGCTGCTCCTTTCTTAAAATATTGAAAGAAACGTTATTGGTGAGACTCTTGCGTCCATAGCCATTTCCGTGTCCCCTCCTCCTAGCGGATAAACTATTTAACCTAAAAAGTTCAAATTTGGTACAGATATGTATTTTCACATGTAAATTACAGAAATAAAAAGTACGAATTTGGCTAAAAATGCATAACAAGTGACCATTCCTACCCCTTAAATTCTAAACTATTTCATATGGAGAGCTA